GTTTCTTTTGTATGTCCAGTGTAACATCTTTTTCCATGTCATTCTTGTGGCCTGTCATTTTTAAATCCACTTTCAGATCAGTCTCAGACTTGTCTGGTAAAACTTGTTCCTCTTCTATAATATCTTTTAAACACAGTCTATCTATAATGGCAGACACTCTTAAAATTAACTTCTGGGCCCATTGTTTAAAAATATCATCCAATGTTAAAGGATTTTGCTCCATTCTGTATTAGTAAGTCAAATTTAAGTGTTCTTCTCCTTTAATTTTGCTCCATTCTGTATTAGTAAGTCAAATTTAAGTGTTCTTCTCCTTTAATTTTGCTCCATTCTGTATTAGTAAGTCAAATTTAAGTGTTCTTCTCCTTTAATTTTGCTCCATTCTGTATTAGTAAGTCAAATTTAAGTGTTCTTCTCCTTTAATTGTAATCTTGGTTCCTTCTGGTTCCCTCTAATGTCCAACTTTCAAAGCCTCATCCTATCTTTTTTTTTTTTTACGAATAATTCAAAACAACAGCATTTTTCCATGGGAAGGTTTCTTATAATTAATTTCAAAATCTTATTTCAAATACATCTGGACCCTTAGTCTGTTTGTAACCTTCCAAAATCAATGTTCTAGTCATCCTTCTGCTGTTTATTCCAAAAGAGAGAATTGTTTTTAATCCTTAAACTTGTACTTAAAACTTCTTTCACTAAGGATTGAAGAAAACTCACCCAGTGTTTTCAGACTTGTTGCTCTGAAGGTTCCCACAAGCTGAAAAGCAGTTAACAAACAACTTCCAAAAGTGATTAGAAAAAGAACTATGCAAACCCAGTATCTTTTTGAAGGCAGCAACCATTTGTTTTTTAAATTATTATTTTCCCCCAAAGCTATCTAGTTTCCACCAGCCTTTAAAAAAACAAAAAGTCCCATGTGCACCATTTCATTATGTCTCAGGTCACTTGAAACTCCAGTCAATTGAGATACAAGGATTTCATCTCCTCCATGTTTTACCCCTCTGTAAACTAGTCTGTAATCCTCTTTCATTCCAGCCTACATCTGAATCTAACAGCCAAAGCTAAACAGGATTTTCCCCACAATAAAAGCTTACCTTGTTAGAGGTGACAAATTTCACAGTTGACAATCAGTTGCTTGACTGAATCCTTGAAGTTAGTCCTCAGATCCATCACAATGTTAGCATTTGAATTCCAACATATTTGTCAAGCAAAGAGGATGCAGTAACTGTAGCCACTTTGCCTGGCAAATATGATGGGAATTAAAATGATTGTATTGCCTCCTTGCTCACTGTGAACTATTTACTTGCAGCTTGTTTGGCCAAAACTAGTATAGGAGCCATTGGGGGAGGTATATTCTGTCCTATCTGCTAGTCCATTGTTTGGACTAATTGATCCATCTGGGTCACAATTTGGTTCTGATACTGGAGCAAGACATTCACAACTTCATTGTTGGTTAGCAGAGTTGGAAGAGAGTTTACACCTCTTGTTGAATCCTTAGTCTTTAGGCACTATCTTCTCCAGTAGTGATGGTTGTAGGCAAATCTAGCTGTCAGACTTCAAACCAGCATGGCTATAAACTTAAATCTTAGCTCTCCAGACACTTAACCCCTTATTTTAAACATGGCTTACTCAGCAAAAGGCTTACAGGCATGATTTGGCAAGATTTGTCTCTTTAATCACAGATAAGAGTGAAGCCATATATACACAGAAGATTTGTAAACAGCAGTACACAGAAATCAAGGCCTATATATAGGTAAGTCAAGGTATAAGTCTGAGCTCCAGGATTCAAATTTTAGTCTGTTTTTTCCATCTTTCTAAGAAAATAGAAGACCATTTCAAGACCATTCTCTTGATGGTCTTGGAAGATACCTGATTTATGTAAATCTAACAGTTTCTCAAGTCTGGGAAACACTAGTTTATGCCTCACCCACTTCAGTCCTTATGAAAGGGTAGAAATAGGATATTTGGCCCTCTGACATGTTCAGTTATTTCTTTTTTTGCCATTTTTATTATAGATGGTACTAAAAAATTCATTTAAAAATTATCAACTCTGTTCTCATAGAAGATTGTTACAGTTTTATCCTTTAAAAAAATTCAATATTATTTATTTCATTTACAGCTTGCCCTTCCTCCACCAGGTCAACACAGGGTGCACAACACTCCTCCAATTTTATCCTTACAAATATTCTGTGACTCAAGAGAAGCTGAGACATAATGATTGGCCAAAAGTTACCTAATGAACTTGATATCAGCACAAGGATTTGAATCTGAGCCTTCACAATCCTAGTTTGCATTCTAATTACTAGGAAAATAATCATGAACAACATGATGGTGATGATATAGTAGTAACATATCAAGCAATAAGCTGATTACTGGTAGAAGTTAGCATCTGGTATCCAGCAGGGTGTGTAGAGAATGAGGAAGATGAGCTTAGTGGAGATATGCAGGCTCTTTGTCTAGGCAAAAGGATTGAAGTATTTTTTAAGTCCAGAACAAGATAGCATTCAGAAATGGCTCTGGCAGATGCCTCTCTAATTCACTGAATGGGGAGGAGGTGCAGCACAATGAGACTAGCAAGATTTTGTTATTATCGCCAATCTCAATAAAAATGGATGTAGTCTTCCTGTGGCATTAATTTCATGGTCTGGTCAACATAGTGGGTCTGACAGGTGTCAGCATCTAGCCAGACTAAGGGAAAATATGATCTCAATGTTAAGGTACATGAAAAGTAACCATAGTCAGGCACTATTTTCTGTGGTCCACAGAAACAGGATGAAAAATAACAGGTGTAAGTTGCAGTAACCTAGATTTTGTTTCAATATAAGGAAAATCTTCCTGACATTAAATTCTGTATAACAGTGGAACAGTACCTATAGAAGTTGTGGGTTCTCCTCTGAAGGTTTTTGAGAAGAGGTTGCACAGCCACCTCTCATACATAGTTTAAGTGGTTTTCCTGCACATTGCAAAGAGTTGGACTAGATGATTCTTGTGATCCCTTCCAACTCCGTAATTCTGTGATTCTATTAACTCATTCAAATAGCTAAGGAGGGTCAGATTTGATTAGTACTTGGATGGAAGTTGACCAAACATTCCAGAAGAACGCAATGGTAAACCACATTATTGCCAAACACCAGAAAATGCCAGGGTTGTTGGTTAAACTGGGAAGTTGACCAAACATTCCAGAAGAACGTAATGGTAAACCACATTATTGCCAAAAAAACCCACCTACATGGAAGTGTCCAAGAAGTTACAAGAGTCCACCTTGACTTTTCTTATAGTATATAGCAGCTATGCCTGTACTAAGATATGCTTTTGATAAGAATATAAACAGCACTTTTAAAATTCAACTTCATTTTATATTCTGCAAGTTACAAAATTTTATCCGTGTTTCCAACAAGCAGGATGTTATCAGCCAGTCCTCTGTCCAAAAAATTTTATTTCATTAGGTGCTATCCATAAATCAAGATACTACCCAAGAAACATAAATGAATTTGATTTTACTATTAAGCTCTATGTACCACTGCCATAGTCCTGCATAGTTTGGTGCTCAAGTGCTCACCCAGGAACAATTGTCATGCACCTCAGGGACTTAACAGAACCATGTAAAAAGTTTCCTTTATGTAATTTAAATAAGTTTTCACCTGATCCATTGCTTTCAAGAATGCTGCTATAGCTGAGATAGCTAAGATCAGCTTATAACCATTTTCAAAAACATTCAATGTACAGTTCCAAGTATGAAGAAGAACACTTGGCTTATTAATATTTTGGCATATGCACAAAAACCACAACATGACAAAT